CCCCAAAACCCCAAAACCCCAAAACCCCTTTTAAATAATTTTATATTGTATAATTTAAAGGTATGAATGTGGCTATCCGTGTTTCAAAATATGCTCTCTCTTTTAACGAGAATTAACTTGACTATTTAGAGATTAATGCAGGATAAAGATAATCAAAGTAATAATGAAGAAAAATTAGCAGAGCAGCAGATACCTAATACAATAATTATTCAGAATAAAAATGAAGAAGCCAAAGAGAGCCAGAAAAATAAAAATGACGCCACAAACAGCGAAAAGACTAGATTTCTAAAAAGAGTTCCTCAGTTAAAAACTGAAATGAAGTTGAGAAGCACCATAGCTTATGATAAAGCTATCAGTGTTCTGAAGATGGAGAGAAAGCAAGTAAGAACTGCCAGATAATAATTTAGAATAAAGATCTTCAGATATCAAATCAAATGTAAAAATTCCTTCTTTCTTGAACCAACCAGAATTAATTCAAAACTAATTCAGCTAGTTTATACTTTCGATTTTCAAAAGCTATAATTTGGTTCTATAAGCGGGAAGTTTTATAGATATCATTTAAATTTGCCAATATCGTAATCATTCTGAATGAACAGTCTGCTCCAAGTCTAATGTTTAATTTTACACAGAAATGCACTTGGTAAAAAAGAAGAGCCACAGTTTGTCAAATAGAACGGTTAACTATTCAAATGTCTGTAAGGCTTATGCTCTATTTTTCTTATAGATGATGGAGAAATTTTTGAAGGACCTAAAATGAGCAAAGAGGAGCATGCAGAGAACTTAAAGAGAATCAGAGAGTATGTATTCCTTAAGATTTATCCCTAATTTTAGATACAACAGAGACCAAAGTCAAAGGAGCAAGGGGGATAGAGCAGTCACCCAGACTTTAGAAAGTAAAGATCGTTCTTTAGTTGTAGACCTGGATAAGCATCCTGAAATTGGCAAGATTATTGGGCACAAGAAGGAGCAGAAAGAGAAGATGAGGTATTAGGAAGGTTAAGTTTTAGGGATACACTCAAAGAGAAAAATACTGTTAGGAATAAGTAAGGAGTCATCTGATAGGGTTTGTTTAGTTAAGAATTTTGGCCAGTTTTAGAAGAGTCTTTTCTTTTAGGTGGTGGGGTTTTTAGTTTGGTAAAGATTTACTGGAGACACTTTTTGAATATGTTAAATAAATTCTTAAAATATCAGGGTATGAATGCTCTTTTTGTTTTGTTTTATTACATTAAAAGAACTTTATTTAGCTTATTTAACTTTAGTTTTAACCCTATATTAATTAAAGATACTACTTTTCTTTCAAAAGTCTAAAAAGTTGAAGTTTATTGTATATTTTCTAATATTTGCATTACAAATTATGCTAAATGTTAATAAAATCCTAATTCTCTAATATTCTCAAAAAATTACTTCTAAAACTTCATGTAGCCTATTAAAATGTACTCAATTCCAAAAATAATTCTCAAGTTTTTTCTTCTAAATTTAAAGAAATCGACTTTTCATAATTGCTAATTTTAATAATGCTACAAAACTTTACACAAAATAGGAGTGCAGAAAGAGGTAGAGCAGTAGATGGAGAAGAAATAAAGGAAAATAAAGAGATTAAATCGATCGTTAAGGATAAACAGAAATCAAAGAGTTCTAAATAGGAAAAGTTTGAGGAAATCAGGATCAAGAAATAAGATAAAGGATGAAAATTCATACTCTAAATCAGAACTACTTAAAAATAGGAAGAAGATACTTGCCAAGATGCCTTTATTCGAGGCTCTTTATAGAAGAGCCACTGGAAATCCAAAGCCTCCTCCTGAAGTGGAGATTCTAAAACCAACTCCTAAAATAAATCATCGTCCTAATGCATACAGGAATAAATCTAGTACTAGATTATCTCGAAATATACCGATCGGTATGTTTTTGCTTACTTTCAGATGAGGATAAGCACAAAGCAAGAACAAGTATCAATTTGGCAAAGCAAAAGTAGATGTATACCTAATCTTTAGAGCTATAATTAAACAGAAGAGTGTAGCTGAGATTAAAACCAAGATTGTCAGAGCTCAGTTTATGTCTAAAGTAAGAGAAAATATTAATTTAAAATACACAGAGACCAAGTATTATATTCAGAATCTTGATATATTTAAAACATAAGTTGTATTTTCCAACAATATATAATATATTTACAGCTTGTTGTACCTTCTTTGTTATTGAACATTGTCATTTAGCATGTAAACGAACTTATATATCAAAACTTTTAGTGGGAAAATAACCTTTGAAACAACCAGTTATTTTCAAAATAAATCTTTGTTAAATAGATATTTTCGTTCAAATTCATTTTTTAATTATTTCTACCAATAATAATCTGACAGATGCTAAAATTAAGACCGACTTTGTATTGAATCGGTGTAAAACTTCAATCAAAGCATCTTCTGATACAAAAATCTATACTTTTAAATGCAAGCATCCTCAAAAATCATGCATTCTTATTTTAAGTTCCAGTTTACTGTAAACCAAAGAGTTTTGCCTATCAATATAATTTCCTTGCTTTTGAAATAACTTAGTTTAATCATAAATCTTAAAATGAACAAATATTGTGTGATTGCATCTGCTGAAATTGTTAATCATTTAAAACGAAAAGTTGATTTGGATTGGTTCAGAATTATACCAAGTACAGAAAATATTTCTTCTACCCCATAAATAATTTAGAGCTTATGCTTTAGCATTCTTTCATATCAATTTAATCTTGTTTGTAATCCTAAACTACAGCCCAAGAACTCTGGAGTTCTTTTGAAGAAATTGTTTATGATCAGTAACGACATTAACAAAGACTCGCCTTTAAAAATGCAGAATTCTGAAGGAACGATAGTTATTCCCCAGGAGAAATCTAACCAGACTTCACGACAAAGGTATATAAGTTAAACTGCACTGACAATATGGTGCTTTCGCATTATTAGCTGGAATTTTTGAGAGAAAGAGTAAAATTATTCAAATTAAGATTATTATATTCCAAAGAGTTTTGTTCTGCAAGCATTTAAAGGCAGAATTTTGAGGCATATAAAAGATGCAACTCTTCTTCATTAATGAATTTCAAAAGAAATAATTCTATTCTCAAGGAAGCATAATAAACTAGTGGTGATATTTTGTTTTCAACAACAAATTTCGGAGTTGTAGAACAATACAAAAATTATATCACAAAATTACATGAAGAAATCAATCAATTTTGAAACAATTCGTTTTGAGTAATTGGTTCTTAGAAATAATTAACATTTTTTACCAAAGATTTTGAATCCCTATCGAAGTTTTCTTAAAGATATGCACGAATACTTGCAGGCATAAAGATGAAATATTATCCATTATTAACATTTTTAACGCTAATTTGGTCATTTCCTTTTTTCTAAAGACTGATGAGTTAATTATATTCCTTGCTGTTACCACTTTGCTCACAGTTCAATTTCTAGATCAATAACAATGATGCTGTTGGATAGGAAAGCGAAGGTAAGTAATGACATTCTTACTCATCTAGGACCTTCAGATTGAGAGAGAAAACAAGAGTCTTCAAGACATTTTGAGGACTAAATATTTTCAGTGATATGGAAATCCCACACAAGAAAACCAATCAGCTGATAAAGTAAATAATATTTTGATCATTTCAGTGCATATGAATGGGTTTTCACCCATTGAGGTTTGTTTTAGTAGTTTTGATCAGGCTTTTGTTCCATTGTTTTGGGACTTACTCTGTTGATGAGCATTAGTGGACTGAATTGAGTTTATTGCTAGAAGTGAAAGATGTAATGAAAATTTTAGAATTAAGCATTTTAAAACTATTTTAAGAAGATTGCTATGGTTTTGAACTTCAAATAATAAATTTTTATTAAATTCCAGTCAATGGACGTTAATAAATACCATATAAGTGTATAACGATTAATGGAAAACTAATATTGGGCTCTTTATTTATTCATCCATAAGTAGAGAGTCTTCAGAAATATGTCTTATTGTAATTAATTCTTGTTTCGGGGATAAAAAGTCAAATCTAAATAATATTTTTTGTAACTATAGCCAATGCTCAAAAGCAAAGCTCAGCAAGCCTATAACCCTCCTCTCTTTACATCTTCAGCTTTGGGAGGCTTCAAAAATGCAATCAATAAGCCAAAGCCTGAATTCCCACTAATTAAGTAAGCTTACTTTAATCTTTAGGGATGGATCAATCCAGTTGATGGTAGAAGGAGATTCAATTATTGTAAGTGCCAACATAATATCTTATTTCTAAAATATTTTACAACCTTAAAATATATTTTAGAGCCACAAAGAAAGAGAAAGAAGCAAAGGAACTATAGATGCTACTTACTCTAATAAAGAAAGCAAAAGATTAAACCTGACAGAAAATAAGATCAATGGAAGCAGGTCTTTGAGTAGTAGAAACAAAGACTTGATTTTCTCTACTTTTGCACAAGCAGCTAGTCGAGAGATCAGAATCAAGCCCGCTTTAAACAAATTCACTAAGAGTAAAAGCCACAGATATCTCAACGCACACATCAAAAGAGTACTCAAAGTTGAATAATTATAGCTGACTAAGAAATAAGGATATCAAGATTGACAATAAAGGTGTCTTCAATTATGACCCCCAGGAGGACCTAAACTATGTTGACAGTACGCTTACTAAACAACCTTTTCTGATCGAAACCTCTAAATAAGTAACTAATTTAAGGATAAAGACGAAATATCCTCTTTTCAACAATATAATGATAGTAATAGGTTTCTTTTGCTACTAAAAGATTTATAGCAATTTTTATTCCAAAACTTGTTCGACTAGACTCTAAAGCATTAGTTTTACCTCTCAGTATTCTTAAAGTTATCTAACATATTATTTCCTACTTTAAAACACAGTAAAGCAGTCTGAGCATTAAATTAGATAGATTAATATTCTAAGGAATATTTGTAAAAATCTCTTGCCTTCTGGAAACTTTAGATATATTTTAGAAATGAAATCCATCACTACAAAAAGCTTGTTTTTTTGGATGAATTAGACATCGTTTGAAGAAATAAGATCAGACATTTTAATCGAGAAGGTTCATCAACGATAAGATAGTTTTGGTGCTCGACTAACAAAGTTAAATCTTAAACATAGTTTGTTAGCTAAGGAATCGAAATTTTCACAAAAGATTTTAGTCTTCTTGAGCACAGAATCTAATTGCACAGAGACTAAGGTTTTCCTTTGTTCCACAAAATTGAACTTATTTTGGTAGTTTGTTAAAATATTTTCTTAAAATCTAGAGTAAAATAATTCTTTGAATCAGGATTTTCAAAGTAAAAAATATTAAATTTCTAACAGTATTCCAAACACACTATTCTGATTCTTCAGACGGTTTATTGCTAATTTTACCTTTTAAAAGTATATTCTTTCAGATATTTTACATCAAAATAAAAAAATTATAAAAAAATTTAGAAGGACAGAGGAAAAGTCTGAGCAAATATCCTAAAAAGTTACTGTCCAGAGATGCTAAAAGCCAGGCAACTCTGAGGAGATATAACTTGGCCAGAAGTCAAGAGACAGAATCGACAAACAGAATGGAAGATATAATAGCAAGAGTAAACGAATCAAGTATCGACAGCATCTTAAATTTAGAAATCCCTGTGGATAAATTCTTCGAAAAGAAAAATGTCTCCTTTATGAAAATGCTCAGTAGGTTAGATACCAATTTTGATCAAAATCCAAGCTCTTTACAAGAGATTGTCATCCAGAAGAGAAGATTAATAGCAAACCAGGAGAAAAGATTTAAAGGGGTCAAAGTTAAAAATATTTCACAAGAGAAAGAATTAAAAAAATAGTAAATGTGTGCTTTATCCTCACATATAGATATAGTTATAAAGAGCAAGATAGCTACTGATATCGAAAAATATAAATAGAAATTTGACTAAGAGAGACATGAAAGAAGATACAAATTCCGAATATGGAGCCTCAGATGTCAATCAAGATGAAACATTTTTTCATAATAAAAACTCTATTTTGGCAGATAATGAGCTTAACAATAGTAAATTGTCCTAATCTTTTAGAATCAGACTGAGAGAATTCATCAAAATCGTTAAAAGACCTTAAAATTGATAATGATAAAACCTTTAATGAAGAGCATTTTCAGGAAGTTACAGAACACTTGAATAGCAGATTTAGCATTAAAATTGGACATTCAAAAATGGTTAAAGAAGTTTATCAAAATAAATTTGAAGATAAAGTAAATGAAAACGAGAATTGTGCAAGCAATAGTCACGACAGCAATCATAAACATAGCAACAGTATAATTTTATTAATCTTCAGGCGCTAAATCTTTTTCAGTTTTAAGTGCAAAATATAACAGCTGGAATAAACCTCAAAAGAAGAAGAGACACATAGAACCTACAATGACCTCTGTGAATTTTAATAAGAAGGATCAACCTCTTAAAACTCAGGTGAGATTGCAAAAGAAGGAGTTAATTTTGGAGTCTTACTATCCTTCATATTCTATAACTTCCAAAGTTAAGAATTTTCATAAACTAATCTAAAATATTCCAGTAAAAGCAAGGATTAAAGTTTTCACTTGAGACTTATATCTACCTCGACTTGTGTGCATAAAGAAAATTTTTATTTTGAATAGAAGAAAAAGACAGAATGAAGAGACAATAAATTATTTTACTTAATACTTGAGCTAGTTTATTAGAGATTTTACAATGTTGAGATTGTCTGAGAGCTTTTAAACTGACAAATCATCAATATATTACTGATATCAAGAAACAGCCTATTCTCAAAGATATATAAGACATAACAATAAAAATTTCCCATCCACAAAAATTCTTGATTTACTCTGGTTCCCCAAAATAAGTCATTTCTATCTTCCATTCCATTTCTAACTCAAGCACACCAATTCCAACATCTATCTACCTCAACTCCAATACTCCTACTCCCACTAAACCCTCCAAATATTCCAACCCTCCTCCCTTCCCCATACCCAATCCCTCCATCTAATTTCTGCAGCATAGCCCCACCTCAAAATCTTCTCAAAAAGCACCAATAAAACTGATACCAAAACCTGAAAACCCTTCCAGAAGCACACTTGAAACCATGCTTAAGAAATCAGTAAGTTGGAATAAGGATCTGTAGCACAGAAAGTTAGTGCCCACATCGATATCGGAGAGGCGTAAGGCTGGAGTTAGGTCGGCAATGCAGATCAGGAGGGATAGGAAACAGAAATTGAAGAGGAGAAATTCAGAGAGAAATCTTCTTTAGAGGTGAGAGATGTTAGGTAAGGGTCTTAAATTAATATGTAGAGAAGAGGAAAAGAAATTGATATTCAATTCTAGTTATTCAATTTGATTTAGTTTCTAAGGGGTTTTGGGGTTTTGGGGTTTTGGGGTTTTGGGG